AGGGATGAACACAAAATCCCGAGCTGCCCCAGTCAGATTCTGGGAAATGTTCAATAGCTGCAAGTCCATCTCTAAGTGAGCAGCCTTTGCCAAAATATCCCTTCTAAACTCTCTGGATTCTTTTCCTTCCTCTGTTTCTGTGGCTTCATGGACACTATTTTGGGAACAAGCCGTGGGCTCCCACACCTGGGGACACCTCCTGGCCATTTGGACTTGAAGCCCCTTTAGCAAACCCATCCCAGCTTTGTGGTGCCAGAACCTTCCCAGGGGTGGGCAGGGTGTCATTTCCTCCCTGCTCCAAGGCCCTGGATGAGTGGGAAGGTGCTGGGATGGCTGCTGGTGGCCCTGGCACCACTGGACCCGTGTCTGGAAGCTCAGCCTGGCACTGGGCACTGGCAGATCCTTCTCTCCTGTTCTTTCAGCCACCTTAAATTGGTCCATTGCTGGTTAAATTTCCCAAAATTCCCCAGAGCTGGCTCGTTGTCTGGGATCTCTGGGAACACGGATTCCTTGCTCTGTGTGTGGGATGCTTTGTGGGCCCCCTCAGTGCTTTGTTCCATTCTCCAGGGCACAATCCAGTGCTGTCCAAGGGGTTGTTTGGGGAAGAGTTGAGTCCCAGGGTTTTCTCAGGCAGGTGATGGGAGCAGACAGAGCTGGTCGTGCCTGGGTTGTGCTTCCCATTCCCAAAAGGGGCATCCCACAGTCCCTGCTGGCTCAGGGAGCGGATTGGGAATGTGCTGGTGCCTCTTCCCAGGCTTGGGTTTGGAGGTGAACTGGGGGAAATCCCCCTGGATGTGACACTGGTGGGGGCTCCCAGTACAGCCCAGTACAGCTCCCATTTCCGTGTGACCCTGAAGACTCTTTCCCCCCCTGCTCCCTGGGTCTGAGAGCTGCACTCCCAGTGCTCCCAGTGAGCCCAGTTCCCTCTCTCCACAGGGATGTTGTCGCACCAGCTGAAGCAACACGTGATTGACGGGGAGAAAACCATCATCCAGAACCCTTCGGACCAGCAGAAGTGAGTGGGGGGCTTTTGGGGGGATCCAGGGTGCCCTGGATCAAAGTCCAGCTCTGGGCCCTGCACAGGACAACCCCAAAAATGTCCCCAGTCCCCAAATCCCATGGCCTGAGAGTCCTCTGCAGCCTTGAGGCTGTGCCCACTGCCCTGGTCAGTCCCAACCACCCTCTGGGGGAAGAACCTGCTCCCAAAATCCATCCAGCCCCCCTGACACAGCTCCAGCTGCTCCCTTGGCTCCTGTCACTCATCCCAGAGCGGCTCCTCACAGGGTTGGACCTTTAAAGGTCCTTCCATCCCAAACCATTCCCGGTCCCCTGAGCTGTGAGTCCGTGTTCGGGGTCATTCCGAGAAAGAAGAGCTGGAAGGCACCGAGGAGGCTCCGTGCTGGCACCTGTCCTTGGTTCCTGTCCAGTTCCTGGGGATCTGCTGGGAGCTGCCAGCACAAATCCCAACTGTTGGTGGTGGAGGTGGTGCCAGCTCAGAGCTGTGCCAGGAGCTGTCCTGGAGGAGCTGCCGGGATCCCACGGGATGGGGGTGCTGAGCAGTCCCAGCTCAGGAGGGGTTTGGGCTCGTTGACCTGGATTCTCATTCCATCCTGCTCCAGCAGGATTCTCATTCCATCCTGCTCGGGGATCCCCTGGGATTGGGCCTTACAGTAAATATTTATGGAGTTTGGTGGCTTTAAATCCCAGTCTCCATCCCTGGAGGTGCCCAGGGAACAACTGGATGTGGCACTCGGTGCTCACAGTTTGGACTCAGTGACCTTGGAGGTCTTTTCCAACCTCGGGGATTCCAGAATTCCGAGTTCTGAGGGTCCCGTGGCTCGTGGGAGGTTCTCTCTTCCCTATTCTCCAGTGTTTTTTTCCCTCACCAAACTCCTCTCCCTGCAGGAAGGACCACGAAAAAGCCGAGTTCGAGGTCCACGAAGTCTACGCCGTCGACGTCCTCGTCAGCAGCGGGGAGGGGAAGGTGAGTCCACCCCAAAAACCCAGGGGCACCTTTTGGGGGGGGTCTGGAGGGGGCTGCTCCAAGGGTGGCTCCGCTCCGGGTCTCCCACGGCTCCCGTTGGCGTTTCCAGGCGAAGGACGCGGGACAGAGAACCACGATTTACAAAAGGGACCCCTCCAAGCAGTACGGCCTGAAGATGAAAACCTCCCGTGCCTTTTTCAGCGAGGTGGAGCGACGCTTCGACACCATGCCCTTCACCCTCAGGTGTGTGGGACCTGTCTGGGGGCTGGGACACCCGTCCAGGGGCTGGGACACCCGTCCAGGGGCTGGGACACCCTTCCAGGGGCTGGGACACCCCTCCAGGGGCTGGGACACCCTTTCAGGGGATGGGACACCCCTCCAGGGCTGGAATCTGAGCAGAGCCAACGTGTTCTGCTGTCCCAGCTGGGAGGAGGGCACAGCCTCGGCCCCTCTGTGGGGAGTTGCAGGATTTGAGCCCAGCAGAGGGTGTGGAAAGGATGTGATGGGCCTGAGCAGGAATCGCAGGGGTTTGAGCTCAGGTGTGAGCTGGGGTTTGAGCTCAGGTGAGCCCAGGGGTCTCTGTCTCCTCCCAGGGCTTTTGAGGACGAGAAGAAGGCCCGGATGGGGGTGGTGGAATGCACCAAACACGAGCTGCTCCAGCCCTTCAACGTCCTCTACGAGAAGGAAGGTGAGTCCTGGGTGGGGAAGGGGCAGGTGAGGGAGGAATAGAGGGGGATGGAGCCAGAGGAGCTGCTCAGAGCAGGGACTGTGGGTCCTGGCAGGTTGAAGAAGCTCCTCTGAGGTGGTTTTGGGGCAGGTGGGAACGGTGGAGGGTGGAACAACAATGGGTCAGGGATCACTGATGGGATCAGGGGTCAGTGCCTGGGTCAGGGGTCAGTGCCAGGATCAGGGGTCGGTGCCTGCCTGGGACACTCTGGGGGTGGGACCCGAGGTCCTGGCAGGTCTGACCCGGGCCGTGCCCCACAGGGGAGTTTGTTGCACAGTTCAAGTTCACGGTGCTGCTGATGCCCAACGGGCCCATGAGGATAACGAGCGGCCCCTTCGAGCCCGAGCTCTACAAGTCCGACTTCGAGGTGCAGGACGGGGAACTGAAGGTTGGTTGGATCATGAATGTGATTAATATTGATAAATGCAAATATTAATATATTAAATATATTTATAAAATTGTATAAGCAATATGTATGCACAGTGTATATAATACCTGTATTTATCCAGAAGTGCCACCCTGTCCCTGCATCCTGGGGTGGGGAAACTGGAAATTAAAACCCAGGAGCCTCTGCAGAGGTTTGTGGTGTGAATTTGGCAAGATTTGGTTAAGCCCAGATTGGAGCCCCTTTCCTTCATCAAACTCCTGCTCTTGTGGCTTGATGAGGACTCCCAGCCCTTTCCAGGAAGGATTTAGGGAATCACACCCTGGAATTCCCCATCCATCCTGTGCCCCTGAGGATTTCCCTGCTTTTCCCCTCTAATGGTGTTCTCCTGACTAAAAAAAGAGTAGTTTTCCAGCTCCTCACGTTTCCTTCCTGTCTCCAGGCCCTTCTACAAAGCTCTGCAAGCCGGAAGACCCAGAAAAAGAAGAAAAAGAAGGTAATTTGTCCATTCCTTGTGGGAATTTGTCCATTCCCTTGTGTAAACTCGTGGCTCAGCAGCGCCCAGGTGCTCCCAGGTCCTGAGTTTTGGGTTCATTTCGGTGTTTTCCCACCTCAGGAAGCAGCAGCTCCGTGGGAAGGGGCTCCTCCAGGGTGGGCTGTGGCCCTGTGGGACCCCCCAGCCCTGATGTGTTCCCCGTTTCCCCACAGGCTTCCAAGAATGCAGAAAATGCCACCACGGGAGAGACGGCGGAGGAGAACGAGGCTGGCGACTGAGAGCCCCCAAATCACTCAAACGGCCCCTTTTCCCCCCAAAAAAAATCCAACCAGAAGCAAAATAATCTGGCACTGTTGGTCCCCTCAGGACCAGGCAGTCTGGACTTCCCACTGACTCCAAGCAGCTCCCGTTGACTTTGCCAAGCAGGGAGGAATCTCTCGGCCACTTCAGACAACTGAAAACAGAGCAGAAAAATAAAATTAGGAGTAAAAGTCACTATCAAATCTTTAACCTTTTATATTTCCCACATTTGAAGAGGGGAATTAATCCCAATCCAGCGAGAGGGAGTGTAGGGAGCCACCTGCTTCCTTCCTCCTCCTTCTTCTCCTCTTCCTCCTCATCCTCCTTTTATATTTTTTAATTTTTCCCTTTACAAATTTTAACGGAGGACAAAAAAAAAACCCCACCCCAAACCAGCTGATTACACCCAGCAAAGTGCCCTGTGTGAGTGATCTGGGACACGGTGCCAGAGGATTTATCTTTTCCCTCTGGGATTTATATTTATAATTGGGAAAAACGGCAAATTTCGAGGTTCCCCTGGGAGAGTGGTCTGGCTGCTCCGTTTTTTGTCTCTGCCTTCGTTTAAGGGATAAAACTCGCTATTTTTTAACACAAACTCGTTTTTAAATTGTCCGAACCCCGGGAAGCCGCCGACATTCCGGCCCTGCGGAGGGGCAGGCGAGTCCAGTTCCCCCCGGGAGCACATTCCACCCTTCCCGCCCGGCACCTCAGCCAGAGGATTTCTCACTCTTCCCTCTGGATTTTCCGTTTGTAAATTGGGGAAAAATCTCAGCAGTTCCTCAGGTGCCGGGTGAGGGAAGCGCTGCCGGAGCCGGGGCCGGGCCCAGCCGGGGGTATCGCTCTTTTGTAGTCACTTTTATATAAAAAAACACAAAAAAAAAAAAGAAAAAAAGCCGCCTGATGCCATGAGTTGAATGTGAGGTTTTTTTCTTTGCCGATACCTCTGGTTCTTCCCCCCTGGACAGAGCTGAATTTGGGAAAAACTCTTTGCCTTTTAAGAACATTCCCGGGCGTCTCCGCAGGCCGCCGTGCTTCCTTCGACAAGATCCGAGTTTTCCACCCCGAACTCCACACGTGCAAATATTACCAAAGTCAATAAAAGAGAATAAACGATGCGATATTGGATTTTATTCTGAGGTTTTTTGCGTCTCTCTCTCTCTGCTCCTGGTCTCCAGTTCTTTCAGCTCCGGGGTGGGTGTGGGGGGGATGTGGGATCCTGGGCATCTCTGGCATCTGAGCTGTGAATCTGAGGGAAAAAAATCCTGATTTTGAGGGGAAAAAAAATCCCTCATTTTGAGGGAACCCCCCTGGTTTTAGCCTTTTTAAGCAGTATTTTGCCTGGACATGGGAGCTGTGTGCTCTCCTAGTCCACGGCACGGATTTATAAACCCCTGAGACTCGCTGGAGGTTTATTAATTATATGGTTTTTATACTTTATATTATTATACAAATATTTTTAGGTTTCATATATTTATATTACAGTATAAATACTTTATATTTTTAAAGAAAAGTCCCTGCATGGCCTTTGTGATGCAACAACAATCCCTTTCACACCCTGGACAAGCAGAAACTCCCAGAAAAACTGTTTTTGATGCTCATATTCCAAATAAACTTAAACGTTGACAGGTCGGAGGGGCCTTTTGGGGGGGACACACAGTCACACCTTTGGGGACCCCCCAAAAGGGGGGCTGCGCAAAATGGCGGCCGGCGGCCGGACTACAGCTCCCGCCATGCTTCGGGGCGAGGAACTACAGCTCCCGTCGTGTCCCTCGCCGCTGTGGGCGTGGCGTATCCCCACTATAAATACCGCCAGCGGGGCAGCGAAGGCCTCTCTCGGCCGCTGCCGCCATATTGGGGCCTTCCCCGGCCGCCGCCTCCATCCGCCTCCATCCGCCTCCATCCGCCAACCCCGCCCGCCCGGACTGAGCGCGGAGCCGCCGCCGCTTCGCCATGAGGGCCAAGGTGAGCGGCGGGGGGCGGCCGATGGCGCCTCAGCAATGGCCGAGCCTGGATGGGGGTCGGGGGGGACCCTGCGGCCTGGACACTCCTGAGGCGGGGGGGGAGTCCCAGGGGAGGGGGGATCCCACCTCCTGGTGCAGAGGACGAGGGTCTCGGTGGGGGTCCCAGGGGTTGGGGGTTTCTGCTGGGTGGGGTGTCGCTGGGGGCGCGAGGGGAGGTCCCTGTGGAATTTGGGGTCCCTGGGGGGTGTCCCAGGGGTTGTTCCAGGGGATAGGGGGTCTCTGAGGGCGGGGAAGGGTCCCTGTGCTGGGCTTGGGGAGGTCCTTGTGGAAGTTGGGGTCCCTCGGGGGTGTCTTTGCCGGGAGCGGGGTGGGGGAATCTGTGGTGCAGGCGGGGGGCGCGTGCCCCAGGTTGGGGAGGGGGGCTCCGAGGTCTGGGGGTCCCGGGCTGCGACTCAGACCCGCTCAGGCCTCCCTGGGACGGTGTGGGACTGGGGACACTGGGAGCACTGGGAGAGCCAAACCGGCGTGGCACTGGGGGTGCTGGGACAGTGCGGGACCGGGGCACCGGGATCCAGCCCCCCCGTACCGGCTCTAACGGCCCCTCCTTCTCTCCCGCAGTGGCGCAAGAAGCGAATGCGCAGGTACGTGGGGACCCCCGGGGCCGGGGGGCTCGGGGGGGCCCCGGAGGGTGGTCTGGGGGGTCCCGGGGGTGACACCACCACCGTGTCCCTTCTGTCCCCAGGCTGAAGCGCAAGAGGAGGAAGATGAGGCAGAGGTCCAAGTGACCGACCCCGCTGGGGCCGCGGCCCGGGGCCGTCCCGGTGACACCCTGGTGACGCGCCGGTGACCTCCCGGGGCCGCGGGGGTCCCGCTGGGCCGGGCCCGTTCTCTCTGCTCTGTAACGGCCGCTGTGCTATGAATAAAAGCTGGTTATTAGAACAATGTGTGGTGGCTCCGGGGGGCTGGGGCGGGGGATACCCCGGTAACGGGGGCACCGGGACGGCGGGAAGGGGCTTCTCCGGCAACGAGAGACGGGTGGAGCCCGAGGTCCCTCTTTTAACGGGGCCGGTGACCGGCACCGGGGCTCCTCCGGGAACGGGGGAACAGGGGAATCCTGCAGTAACGGGACTGGCAAGCGGTGCCGTGAGCTGGGACCGGGGGCGGCCGGAGCAGGGCAGGTGACACCGGGACCTGGATGTGGCACCGGGGCCGGGAGGTGACATCGGGACCGGGGGGTGGGGTGGGGTGACAGGGCCGGGGGGGGCGACCCGGGGACGGGGTTGGGGGGGGGGTGACGGGGCCGGGAGGTGACACCGGGACAGGGACGGGGGAGGTGTGGCAGGACCGGGAGGTGATACCGGGGGTCTCCCCGCGCGAATCCCGTGCGGCGGCTCTCCCGAGTGACGTCACGGTGACGCAGTTCCGCCGCGCCGCCGCGCGGGTCCTTCCGGGCCGCCCCGGAAGCGGCGCCGAGCGGGTCCCGCCCGCCGCCGGCACCGGCCGCGCGTTCCCGGCGCCGGAGGCACCGCGGGGAGGCCGCGAGCGGTGAGTGTGGGCCCGGGGAGAGGGCGCGCTCCGCTGGGCCGGTCCCTCCGCCCCCGCCGGGCCGCGCGGGTGTCCGTGCGAGTCCCTCCCGGAGCGCCCCGCGGGGCTGTCACGGGCGGGGGCCCCGCACCCCGGGGCTTGGAGGCACTCGGGGGGCGCCGGCGGCACCGGCAGCCGCGGGGAGCGGCGATGAGGGGCGGCCTGGGGTTCCCTCCGGGGCGGCGGTGGCGCTGGGAGCGGGCGGGGGCTGCGGGGACACCCGGGACATCCCGGGGGGCACCGGAGGGCACCGGCGGCCGTGGGGGAGCTCCCGGGCCCTGCTGCCTGTGCGCCGTCTCCACGGCAGCGCCAGTGCCCTGGGCCGGGTGATTCCCCCCGGTCCCGGAGCCGCTCCCGGTGCCTCCCTCACCCCGTCCCTCTCTCTCTCTCCGTTCCCGGTGCCCCGGGGCGGGTGTTCCCCTCCGCCGGCTCCCGCGGCTCCCTCCCGGTGCCTCCCTCACCCCGTCCCTCCCCCCCGCAGCACCCGGAGCTGCCCCGAAGATGCCGGACCGGGACGGCTACACCAACGGGAGCGGCGGCGGCGGCGGCGGCGGGGACGAGGTGGGCGCCAACGCCGACGACATCTGCCGGGACTTCCTGCGGAACGTCTGCAAGCGCGGGAAGCGCTGCCGCTTCCGCCACCCCGACATCAGCGAGGTCACCAACCTGGGCGTGCGCAAGAACGAGTTCATCTTCTGCCACGACTTCCAGAACAAGGAGTGCGTGCGCCTCAACTGCCGCTTCATCCACGGCACCAAGGAGGACGAGGACTGCTACAAGAAGACGGGGGAGCTGCCCCCGCGCCTGCGCCAGAAGGTGGCCGCGGGGCTGGGGCTGTCGCCCGCCGACCTGCCCAACAGCAAGGAGGAGGTGCCCATCTGCAGGGACTTCCTCAAGGGCGACTGCCAGCGCGGGGCCAAGTGCAAGTTCCAGCACCTGCAGCGGGACTACGAGTACGAGGCGCGGGGGCGGGAGCAGGGGCTGGGCCCCGCCGGGCGCCGCTTCGAGCCCTTCGACGGGCTCCTCTACGACCCCGACCGCTACGACGAGCACGAGCCGGTGCTGAAGCGGCGGCGGGTGGAGGGGCTCTACGAGACCTACGAGTACAGCTTCGGCAGCCCCCGGGCCGTGGAGTACCGGCTGCTGGAGGAGGAGAACGTCCTGCTGCGCAAGCGCGTGGAGGACCTCAAGAAGCAGGTGAACAACCTGCTGGCCACCAACGAGGTGCTGCTGGAGCAGAACGCGCAGTTCCGCAACCAGGCCAAGGTGATGACGCTGAGCTCCACGGCCACGGCCACCGAGCAGACTCTGGCGCCCACCGTGGGCACCGTCACCAACTACAACCACAGCATCGCGCAGACGCACACCACGCTCAGCAGCCAGGCCCTGCAGCCCCGGCCCGTCACCCAGCAGGATTTGGTGGCCCCCGCCGGCGCCCAGGCCGCCCCCCCCGCCAACGCCGCGCCCCCCATGAACCCCGAGATCGCGCCGCTGTCGGCGGCCCTGGCGCAGACCATCGCCCAGGGCATGGCCCCCCCCGTGTCCATGGCGCCCGTGGCCGTGTCGGTGGCGCCCGTGGCCGTGTCCATGGCGCAGCCCCTCGGGGGCATCACCATGAGCCACGCCACCACCCCCATGGTGACCTACCCCATCGCCTCGCAGAGCATGAGGATAACGGCCATGCCCCACTGACCCCCCGCCCCGCAGAACTGAGCCCGGGGGGCAGCGGGAGGAGGACGGACACACGGACCCTCCGCGGCCCGCGGACGCTGGAGGCTCCCACGGGGGTGTGGGTGCGGGACCCCCACCTCGGTCCTCCTTGGGG